TGGAAGTTATATAATTAATTAAATAATTAATTATATTTGTTCTGTCCTAATAATTATTGAGGAAGTTTGATGACAAAGTATATATTCAATATTAAAGATGATAAAAGGAAGTTAGGAAGATATATTTAAGGATGTTATGATAAAATTATGAAAATAAATTAATAAGAATGTTATAATGAAATTGTGGAGATAAATTAATAAGGATGTTATGATGAAACTATAAATATATAATATTAAGGAAGTTTAGAAGTTAATAAATATAATATTAAAATAGATGTATTATGATTATAGTAGATGAATATTAGTTTGTTAGTTTTATCTAAAAACTAACTAGTACCTTCTAAAAATTCAAGGAACAATCAAACTGGAAGTCTTGACCTATGGGGAAGGACTATAAATTCCTTAAAAGAACCGTTGAGTAGATGTTAACAATAACACCCATGACAACATCCAGCAGATTAAATACTGCATGCAATCAATATATCCATTTGCTTTTATGAACTACATATTAATCAGAAAGGGTGATTACTAATTTATGGAGTTCCAGTCTCACTCAACCTTTACAAATTATTATCATATCATCCTATTACAGCGATTCAATTTTGTAACGGAGTTCTTTCCGTTCCTTAAAGAAAATTAACTATAAAGTCATTATCGAATCATTATTCTTATCTGTAATAATGTGATGAAATATTAGTGACAAAGAATATTTAGGCGTGTGGTTAAAAACATCTTTTTCATTTGATATATGTTGATTTTGTGATAACGGTTATACAACAAAACCTGTTTTGTTTGTTATATATAAGAAGTTCTACTGAGAATATCGAAAATATCGATAATAGCAGTCATATTCTTGAAAAAACATCAATCCATTAATGTTTAGTAATTAAATTTCATGAAATATTTATACTGAATACAATATCTGGAAGGAGCATAATCTCACATATCTAATTTTTAAGAACACAAAAACTATTTATAATTAAAACTTTAATTGATTAAGTTTAGAACTACAGTATTATATATACTAATTAATTTGTTGAGTACGAAGTATTATTATACAAAAATTACATGATTTAAATAAATATCACAGTATCAAAATGTAATTGTTGTGTATCAAAATTCAATTCAATATATTTATTATATTTATACTTGAATGCAATATATTTGTCCTATCAATTTTTAATTTATTAATAGTGTCTCCATATGATATGTTATTTAATTTATGCTATACAAAATATGTCATGTCATAGTCATGCAATGAATTAAAAATATTGTAAAAAGTTTATTACATAGTAAAGGAAAGATATTGTAAAATTTTTAGGAAAGTACTATAATCACCAAAAACCTAATTTTCTTTTTTTTAATTTGTTTGTTTATAAATTATATGAACACCCAAACACTCAGATTTTCTTGTATCATGCAGATAATGAATACAAGATGCTTCTTCAAACCAGTTGCTAATCTTTCATGTACTTATAAATTTTAATAAGAAATTTATTTGGATACAACTTTCTGCAAGGAATTGTTTTAAGAGATACATATAATTGCTATCTTTGAATTATATAAAATTGAATATATAAAGGGACACGATTAGTTTTCAGAGATTAAAAAATTCAATTTTTTTCAATTATATATTAATTGTTTTGTTAAACACAATAATGGGAGAAGTAAGTTGAATTTAATTACAAAAAAAATTAATCTTTGAAACCTTCAAATATTTACTTTAAGTAATTCATATAGAACTATTATGAAATTGCCAATGTCGATGAGAAAACCAAGGTAATATTAGATGTGAAGGTAAATAAAATAAAATTCATGGACGGCTTATTATTTAAGTTCATATTTGACCAAAATATTGTTGAAAATAATCCTAAAAACAAGAATGCTATAAGAGTAGGTGAGTTAAATATAACTAATGGACAAGGCTACGGACAAGAAGAACGACATATACAGAAGGAAGGTATCAATAGAGAATTATCAAGTTTTATAAATTGTAAAGAGCTAACCTAATTGATAGAAGGCATGCTACCAATGCGGAATGGTGAGTTAATTACAATCAATGAACTCAGTTTTGGTCAAGTAGAACAACAAGGAGAAGAAAGTATAGGTCTTGAAGAGCTAATCTTGCTGATAGAAGAACAATTCATTTATTATTTCGAAGAAAACCATTTTTTTGATGAAATATCTTATAGAAAATGTAATAATGACAAAGAGTCAGAAACAATATTCAATAAAGCAATTGTCGAATGGGGAGCTATTGAAACATACACAACCCTCCGTATTTCAAATCTACCTAATCCAATAAAAAATGATGAATATTTTTCTAACACAGGTCTTTATGTTGAATTGAATGAATATTTATAACAAATTTTCTTTTATAAAAAATAAAGATCGATCATGCCGTGGAATCTTTGTAAGTAGGACAGACAAATTTCATTAATGTGCACTTTTTAGAAGGTTTTGTAATTGCAAAATTATATTAAATAATTCTTATGAACTTAATACATACAATAAGAATAGTTTATTGTATATGTGTATACTAAGCTATTTCACCTAATCGATCAGTTGAACCATCAACACTTACAAATTATCAGTACTTTATTAAATAAAAACTTTTATATGTATAAGTGGTTGATAATTATTTTTTGATTTTTTTATCTTTTCAATATTTTAAATAAATTTTGACCATTTTTGTTCACGTCTAAGTAAAGTTCAAATTTTCACTAGATACTATAAAAAGTACTTCTAATTAAAGATATAAATCCAATAAAACTAATCAAAAAATATCAGATTGAACCTTTAATATAAATGTCTTTCAATTTTGAAAAATATTAATTACAAATATCAACTATCTTATAATATGTTTATCATCTTTTACTTTTATTGAACGGTATAATCAAAGGTTCTTTTATTTATAATTTAGATGAATTATCACAGTTAGTCAATAATCCATAATTGCGAATTATTAATTATTAGAAGTAATTGGTATTTACTTATTATAATAAATGATGGCGAAAAAGGTGTTGCTCCGATAATTGGTAATTTATCACTTGGAACTTTAGCTATGATTACGTTCAAGAAAAAGAAAGTAAAAGTTTCAAATTCGAGTAGAAAAAAGAAAAGAAAAATTTCAATTCACAAGTTATTACTAATTCCAAAAACAATTCATCACTAAGAAAACGTAAATATTATATGATTAATAATATTTTTTATGTTTGATTTTTGATTTTTTTTTCTTTATCTAGGAATTAACGTTACTAGAGACACATTTAAACCTGCTCAAAAAAAATTAACTGTAAAAAACATTTCAATAAGAGATTTGCCAGTTAATCATTTGAAACTAGATTTAAACATTCGTAAAAGAGGACCAGATCTTGCCTTGAAATTAAATCACAGAGATATTTTATTGTTGATGTTACTACCTAGGAGAGCAAGTTTACTAAATTATAATAGTTTAGCTTAGTAGTGAACTTGTGTTGGTTAAATTATGTGAATAATTATAAATACTTGAGAAATAAATATAAATTATAAAAGGAATTCAAATAAACTAAAGATAATATCAATTCCCTATAAGAAATATGTATATTTAAAATATATTTAAAATATACTTAAAATGTATTTAATTTTGAGTATATTTTAAATATATTTTAAACATATTTTATTAATAAAATAAATATAAATTAAGTATTAAACAATGTAAAAAAAGTAAAAAACTAATATATTTAAAATATACTTAAATTTCTTAAAATATATTTAAAATATATTTAAAATTTCTTAAAATATATTTAAAATATATTAAAATCTACTTAAAATATATTTAAAATATACTTAATTCTTTTCATTTTAAATATATTTTAAGAAAGTAATATATACTTAAAATATTATTAAATACAATAGTCTGAACTAAAAATATTAAATATATTTCAAATATGTTTTAAATATATTTTAATAATATTTTAAATATTTATTGAAATATTTTAATTATAATTTAAATATATTTCAAGAATATTTTATGTATATTTTAACAATATTTTAATTATAATTTGAATATATTTTAAAAATGTTTTAAATATATTTAAGTATAATTTAAATTATTTTTAAGTATTTATTAAGTTATATTTAGATATTTATTAAATATTTATTAAATAATATTAGATATTACATATATATAAAATATATTTAAAATAAAATATAAGAAATAAAATTAAAACTAATATTTAAGAAATAAATTAAAAAAAATAAAACTCAAGAAATATTTGTTTTAAATAATATATTCAAATTTATTTAAAAATAAATTAAATATAGACATGAGATTTTAAACTGTAATAACTTGATGAATATCAATACTACTAAAATTAAATATATACCATTTTGTAGCTAAGAATCAGAAAATTCTATAAATATTAGGAATACCATAGTAGAAAATCACTCACTGACGTGTAAATTATAAGCAAAATCATTAATTAATTTGATATAAAGTTAAAGAAATAAAATTAAAACTCATGAAATAAAGTTAATATATATATATTCTAAAACAATAAACTTATATAGATACTATTAATTTTATAGTAAACAAAGTTTTAGAAAAAATAAAACTTCAGATTATCTTAAATAAATAAAGTTATAATTAATTAAAATTCAAGATTATACTCAACAAAACATTGAACAAACTTTACAATTATATATTAATATATACTAGTATCTTTACATTCTAAAAAATAAACTCAAATGCATAAAGTAAATAAAATAAATAAAGTTTGAGATTACCTTAAAATAATGTTTAAATAGTAAATAA